ACGTTTTATGGTTTTATTTTGTTGAGTTGGGTTTGCAGAATGACATACTAAAAGTTGCCAAAAATTGGTGCACGAGAAAACCACTAAAATCAGAATTTAAAATGGCGGCTTTTTCCAACATTGGACAAACTAAAAAAAACATATTTCACATGCATTTGTTATGCACATTTTTCGAGATATTGACTTGGGACCACCGCCTGTATTTATTGGGTGGTAAGTACTTCATTTTGATAGGGAACATGTTTTTGGCCGCCATCTTGGATCCGCCATATTGGACATAGATAATTTTTTTTCAATGTAATGATAAGTGTTGTGACACATTATTACCAACTACATTTTTACACTGATTTCAATGCCGAAATCCGTTTTTAAATATCTTTATTTATTTTAGAAGATATATTCAGACGAAAACTCTCCACCATACGTTTCTTATGGACGTTTCGTAGTTTGATAACTGTTTTAACATTATGTTTCTTATATCTCCAGTTCTTATTGACGCTTGTAGTTCGTTCTAAGCTCCAATATGGCTATGTTTAAGTATGTTTGTAAGTAGACATTAAGTAAGGGGAGAGGCCACAAACCTCCAATATACGGGGACACACACACACTCTTATAGGGAGGTTTTGAAGTGGAATGAAAAATAATACAGCTATATCAAAACAAAGCTTTTACCTCTTTAAATCTTTAGGAATATCAGCCAGATCTTTAGATTTGTATGAATTTTTTAATCCAATGGTAATCTCATTACGAAAATAAATTTTGATAGAGACGAATGTTTGTAACCTACGATTTTAAGCAAAATAAATATCATAAGTCAAAATAGCAAACAATTTACACCTCACTTCTTCCATCCCTGGAAGTACTATCACTATGATCCTCTACAGGAGTTTTGAGTACAAAATAATATGACATGAAGAGAAATACATCTCCATTTTATTTCACAATGCCCTTATTTCACCATGGAACTTCCATAACAGCCAATAATTATTTGACTTCTCGTTGTAATTGGTTATCAGTCTTTAGTTAAAATAAATAATTTACAATTATTTGACTAATATTAATAAAAAGTTTATGGCTACCTAGTCAGTAGTTACGGTTCTAAAACTTCTAACTATGATTTTTTTTATTGACTATTGCTCAACAGTTTAAAGTTTATAAATATTATTCTCTCTACTTTATTAAGTCTTTAAATCAATAGGCAAAATTAATTTAATGTTATATAGTAAAGAATAAGAAATAATACAATTTGCATAAAAAATTAAATATTATACATTTCTTAGAGCCTACTGATTGTGGACTAAATTTAGGAGGTGTGCAATAGCCCGAGAGTTGAACTGATGTGAACACATGACCATTGAACCTGTTAGTTATCAGTCCAAGAAATGCTAGTGTTTTGATTTTTATATTTTTGCTGTTTTCAATTAAATGACCGGTATGTATTTTTAGTATTTCAGTGTAACACTTAAATTATGTACGTCAGTAGATTCCTTATTCTGGAATTTGTTTTTAGAATGATGAATATTTAGTAAGAGTGACTCACCAATCTTGATCATGTTGACATATCATTAGGACCTGTCTTTGGTCCATAATCTGGTTGTCTTTGTGTTTCTTCTGTAGGGAAATTAGGTCCATAATTGGGTTGTCTTGGTGATTGTTCAGGTGGATAATTAGGTCCATTATCTGGTTGTCTTGGTGTTTCTTCAGTAGGGTAATTAGGTCCATAATTGGGTTGTCTTGGTGGTTGCTCAGGAGGATAGTTAGGTCCAATATCTGGTTGTCTTGGTGTTTCTTCAGTAGGGTAATTAGGTCCATAATTGGGCTGTCTTGGTGTTTCTTCAGTAGGGTAATTAGGTCCATAGTTTGGTCTTCTTGGCGATTGATCAGAAGGAAAGCTAGGTTCAAAATCTGGTATTCTTGGAAATCCTTTGGGAAAGAAATCAGGGAAATCTCCAAGATGTATTTTTGGGAATCTTTCAAACCATGATTCTGGATCGAATTCATCTCCAGGTCTACCTCCTGGAGTTCTTGGAATCATTCCTGGAAAATCTCCTGGCTGTATTCCAGGAAATTCATCTGGAAATAGTCCTCCAAAATTGTGTCATCACCAGGTTCACCTGCAGGGGGTTTCTCAGATGAAGAATTTGACTTACAGCATGGTGGTCTTCTTGGAAATCCCCTTGGAAAACCACCACCAAAGTCTGGAAATTCGCCAATATTTATCCTTGGAAATCCACTTTCAAACGGTTCACCATGAGGCCACCATCTACTATTTACCCTTGAAAAAAATGTCAGGGAAATCTGACGGTCTTTTTGGAAATCTAGTGTGAACCCTTGTTCCTGATGGTACATCAGTAGACGAATCTGAATTTTGGTCGTAGTTTCCTCTTGGATATCCTGTCGGGGGTTGTTCTTCCCTATCATCTGATCGTCTTCTTGAAGGTTGTCTAGGATATTGCAATGGAACTCTGGAATCAGTGCTAGGACTTCTATATGCATCACTACTTACATCTCCAGTTGCAGGAGCAGATGATATACTATGTAGACACTCACAAATGAGAAGTATCACCAACACTGTCTTCATGGTCACTGATAGCTCCACACTTAGCTCATTGTTTATATATCTGAGGTTCTGACCTATTGTTATCACTTCGCTTCACAATAGGCAAAGCCCAAACCGTCCTAACCTTATCAAAGTTATAAGGTACAGTAGTAAAAGATTATTGCTTTTCCTATTAATTATAATTTCTAGGCTCTTTTTCCTCACAGTGGTACAAATAAGTATTTTCAAAAAAATTATTATTTTAATAACAAAATTTTAAGTACCGGTAGGTCTATTTACAATTATTGATTTTAGACTATTATATTCTTGTTTGAAATGCTCAATAATGCAACAAAAAATGATATCCAAATAAAATCAATGTAAACCGTAAAACAAACTGTTATCTGTATTAATTATTAGAAGCAAGCATGTTTCTTTAAAACCTCAGCTCGTGTGCATCGCAGGGAAAATCTACGCATACTGTTAAAAAGATATTTTCCTGTAGGTGTACAGGATCCCTTTATAAATTAAAATAGGTTCAAAATAAAAATAAACACTAAAAATTAATTTAAAGTTAAAAAAAAATTACATGGGCCTTATGGGTTGCCATGGTGGTGACGAAATAACACAGAAAATCTAAACCAATGGAAGAAATTCCAATCACATATGTTTTATTTACAGCGTGGTGTGAAAAGTCTTTAGACCTAAATTGCATATTTTTGGTTGAGTTCAACCACTGGGCGACCTCTAGTCCATCTATCTATCCATCTATATAATAATAGGTAACCATGTTTCTTTAAAACCTCTTTTCTCAGCTCGTGTGAATCGTGTAAGGAAAATCTATGCATATTGTTAGAAATATATTTTCCTGTAGGTGTGCAGAATCCCTTTATAAATAAAAATAGGCACAAAAATCAATTTAATTTTTTTTTTATAAAATGGGCTTTAATGGGTTGCTAGGCTGGTGACGAAATAGCAACTAAATATAAACAAAAAATCAAAACAAATGAAAGAAATTCCAATCACATTTTTTATTTACAGCTTGGGGTGAAAATAGGGGTGTAGGCACATGCACCAGGCTGTATTCCTCTTAATCACGGTCGGTTGACCTGTCAGTTCTAGGTTGGCATCGAACGCTTCCGCATCATTCCGTGCATAGCCCAACTGTTCGCTTCAAATTGTTAGCTCTATTACTGTCGCTGTCAAAACGTATCGTTTATAGGTTAAATTTAATCCAACTGTCATAACATAACCAAACTAACCAAACTTGCTGATAATTACAAATCGAATGAAGGTTTAATAAAAAAAATTGTTCTGTTCATAAAATACTACAAATAACTACAAATGCCTAAAATTCATTTTTATAATTTTTAAATTGTAAAATTAAACTGTCATAACCTAACAAAACCAACCAAACTTGCTGATAATGAAAAAATCGTACAAAGGTTTACTAATCGAAAAATATTTCTGATCATAAAATTATAAACGCCTTAAATTCTAACAAAAGATGTACAGTTAAGAAGTAATCGCAATCTAAGCGAAATCTTTGACAAAAAGTTAACGCCTCCGGTGGGATTCAGAATTCTCGATTCCCCACCCCTCCTCCGGTGACCACTACCCTCAGGCCATAAATCAGGGGATTAACCCAAACAAAGATCTGGGCCGCTGTCCGTCTCCCGATTGTGCTGATCCAAATTACTAATCTCTGTTGAATACAAGAACTTTTTACTAAGCCAAACTGTTTGAATGACTTATTGCAAGCTTCAACAACGGTTATGTTATGACCCATCAACTATGTGAGCCACTAAATATTAGGTACAAAATATAATTTTAGACACGTGCACATTCTGTGACTGTTTCACACAGTTATGTTCTTTTTCAAAAACAAATTGGTGACAGCGAGCTGGTCCATATAGATGGGATATGTCTACTTCAGTACCTAATAATTAAAGGTAGTAGTTAATGACAATAGGTATGATTAGAAAAAGGGTGAATCGAGGCAGTTTGAAATAGTGTATTTAAAGAGGATTTACAGCAATAATACGATAGGTTGTGGATTGACAAAGATCTGCAGACAACTTATTAAAGAATCTAGATAAAAAATCATGAGAAAGTTATTTTTAAGCTACTCTGTGTTGAGGAATATCCACTGTAGCTTTACCTTTGTGTTATGAAAAAGTAAAAAATGTACTTATGAGTCATTTTGTTTCTAGATATCACAACATAAATAATAATGGTATAAATCGTGTGTTGAGTGACTATTAATTGTTGGGATAGCTGTACGAAACAACTGTGTTATGGTCCTTACAATTTTGATAGATTTTTTTATTTTTTGGAAATTTAGATTTTTAATGGGGATTTTCCCATAAAACCCAGTAAATTAACGGAAAAATAGGATTTTCCCAAAAATGGCCCGAACGATTTTGATAAAAATTTAGTATGTTATGGTTTCTCTACCTACCTTTGAGCAGGCTGAGTACGGGTAGCTAAATCGTTCTCCGGAAGATCGAGCTGAACCGCCGACCGGTAACTCTGATGATCAAACTGCAGCGGTTATCTATGGCTTCTTTCTGTAAACATGATATAGACTGATCAGTGGTTTTTCCTGTACACTTCTCCAACTCACTCAGTTACTATGCAGTCTTCATGTGAATCAAACATTATGAGGGTCTCTGAATCCCTCTAACTATTTTACTATGGGTCTCAGTATCCCATATTAAATCATCAATTATTGACTCTATTGTTTCTACAGAAGTTTTATTTAACCGTGAGGAACATTCACCAGAAGTTTGTGTGCACACAGTGTTATATTTTATTTTCTCAAGAAGTGTCAATCTCCATTGCTTGGTATTAACGAACATTCATTAATTTCTTCTCTTCGAGGTCGTGAGTACATCTCTACACATCATTCCTCTTTGTCTATTTCAATTTGGACTTAAATATCTCATCAAGAGATTTCTTAACTCAAATGGATTTATTATTTTTCCAATAGTAACTCACTGTTTAGACAGATCAATAAAGTGCAGTTTGGTAGCAAAGTCAGGAATTTAATTTTTAATTCCACTTTGTTCAAACAATAATCAACCTTGTCAATAAGATAAAATAAGATAAAAATGTCTTACTTTATAATACGAGATGGCAAAGACGGCGCCCAGTGCCACCCGCTCGATGTAGCCTAGAGCCCGGTCGTCCTGTAATTCACACAAATTTACTAAGGACGTATAAACATAAATACAAATTAAATAAATTGTATATCTAAAATGGCCCGAACGATTTTGATAAAACTTTAGTATGTTGTAGCCCTTTAAATTCTGAATAAAATGGTAAATCCCATATCTGTAAAAATTACGGTTCAAAAGTTATGGTCAAATATGTTATTTTCCCATAAAAACCCTATAAAATAACAAAAAATAGGATTTTAGAAAAAATCCGGTTTTTATTTAACATAGCATGTTATGGTCCTTACAATTTTGATAGTTTTTTTCATTTTTTGGAAATTTAGATTTTTAATGGGGATTTTCCCATAAAACCCAATAAATTAACGGAGAAATAGGATTTTCCCAAAAATGGCCAAAACTTCGCAACTCGTACCAAGGATTTGTTGTACTATATCTAATGACGTCATACTGGCTTGCAATATAAATATAAATTAATAAGGCAGCTAAAAGGAATAAAAATTGTATTGTTCTTATTTTTAACCCTAGTTCCCGATAACCCGGCATTTCACAAACTCGGCACCCTTCCAGTCCACATTACGCCGAGTTTGCGGGACTCTACTGTACTTACGATCTTGTTCAAAACAAATTCCTGGATCAGTGGGCAGACTAGGAGTATTCCAGTGAAAAGGCAAACCAACCAGACTAAACGAAGTAGTCCTCCATTGTTCCCCTGGAAAAATAGTTAGGTAGGTTTTAATAATATGTTCAAGTATTGGGTGAAAAGTGAAATGCGAAGTTTTTGGACAGTTAAACACAGAGATATGGACATTAATAATGGCTTTATAAAGTCAGTAAACAGCTTTTTTAGGAGGATATGGCCGTAGCCTACAATATGTTTGAGATTTATGAATGTAATCGTCATAGTAAGTTTTAAAAATGTCTACTTATTCATGACAAATAAATAGGGAAATGGGAGGTTTCGCACATAGTTCTAGACGTTAAAACTGGCTGTAGAAAGTTGCCTAACGGTTTTTAGGAGGATATGGCCGTAGTCTACCGTGTGTTTTGAAATTCATGAATGCAATCGTCATAGTTTAATTGTTTAAATGTCTATTTGCTCATGACAAAACACAGGTGAAATGGGAGTTTATGGACAATTGGGCACGGTTTTAGGTGTTAAAAATGGCTTTAGAAAGTCACCAAACGGCTTTGAAAATTCCAAATTTGCCCGGACCCCCCTGCTTTATTGGGGGTGCACCCCCCAAGCCCCTCCCCCTTCACAAGGTCCTAGAACCGCTACTGGTTGGCAAGCCTAGGGTTAGGTCGGATTTCTTGCCGAAAATATTAAAATACCAATGCGATGAAAACACACTAACGAAATAAAACGCAAATCTAACAGCAAAAAACATTATTGTATGGTTTAAATACCTCTGACGGAAGAAATAAAAGTTTATGTATATAAATACAATTAGTTACGTCTTTTGGCGTTGACGTTGGATGGATACTTCAAGTAGAATTTTCATCATGTTCTTCAAATTAAAACCATAAATTTTGGACTCTGGGGATTTCAAAACGAAAAAGTAAATCCGTCCAGGGCTAGGTCTTACCTTGAGACCTACGGTAATAGCTCATTCCCTATTTGGGAATTTCTCTAAAATTAGATATTTTTATAAGTCCATATTTGTTTATCCTACGCTCTGATTATAGAATCACGCATTGACCACTGATGTACGCACTGACCCACTCATGCCAATATCAGTTAAAACAAGATTACTTTACTTGATCAAAATAGTTTTTTTTATGAAACCATATAAAAATAATAGTTCACAAAGCACACTGTACATTCAGCGGACAGAAATGTATATTTATACTGATGTACATTTACCTGTCAAAAGCTAACTCGTAATGATTGCAAGTTTATAAGGGTTATTTATTATGGTTGTGGGTTAAAAGAAGTTAATTCTGAATCGTTAATATTAAAACCACGATTCCTCTGACATCTTTGCAAGTGTTTTTCAATTTCTGAAATGCGCTGCCTCAACCTCGAACGATAGCTACGAAGCGCACACCGGTACTAACTACTGTACACCATTGTAGTCTATCGTTTAAAATACCGTCGTCAACATTGAACATTCTTATCACAACAATACTCAGTCCACAGTCCTACGTTCCACGCATATGAATGAACCGTCTAACAACTGCATTTCCGGTATTCCCATTCCCACTTACGTCATTATGTACCCTAATGTAGTAATTGAAATTTTAAATTTTAAATTACCATGTTTTATTTTTAGGAATAAGTAAATTATTGTAGTACCGTAGTTTACTTGTTTATGGATATATTTTGATCAAACTTGGCAAATTTATTTTACCAATCGATTTTTATATTTCACTCATTATTACCCTCCCTGTTGCAGCAAACCTAGGTACTCGTTAAATTTAATGTTATTTTAAAGATTTGTGGAAATCAAATCAGGCAAATGGAAATTCCCTTAGTCTGCAGGTTTGCTGTGGCGGGGGTATTAAGTTATTTTAATGAATGAAAATCTTTTATTACAAAACAAAATTAGCTAGTTACACACAATTAGTAGTCGATTACGTTTGATTCAATACCGTAGTTGATATGAAATCAATGTGCAAGTTATATCAATCTCTTATTTTCACCCAATACTTGTTATTGTTTTTATACTTTGTTTATAAATCTACATACAATATATAACGAAAAATAATAATATAAAAAAACGTAATAATATTTCATAATCAAAACTTATCAACAACCATGATTTAAAACGCAAGTGCCATACACTAAAGTAAACGAGAACCGTTTTTATGCGAAGATTATTTTAACTGGACTGGAACATACAGAATTTACTATTTATACTACTGTTTATAAGTAGGCCTACTTTAAAATATAACGTTGAATTCATAGTTGGGTGTATTTTAATTTATCGCATCATTGCACTGTTGAAATATAGTCATAATGTACAACCAACAAATAAATCGACATAAAAATTGACCTCAGGTAATTTTACATGTAAACAAAATTTACATATAACATAAAGTAATATTAACAACATATAAAATATAATCAATTGATTTTACATTAATGATAAAACATTTTTTTTAATGTCACAAAACAAACGTTGGATCAGGGTGGACATGTCCTAATGGGTTCCTTATGTTGCAAATTCCACAGAATATTTGTAACAATGTTTTTTATGTCATTGATGCCACTAGACTTTGCAATAAATTAAAACTTTAAGGCAATCTCATCAAACATTTTTTTGGCCACTAACTAATTTAACGCTTGTAACACAAATAATAATCCCATAAGATAAATAGCATTTATTTGAAACAGTAGCAATATTATCTGTTAAATAAAAAAGATTTTAACACGCACAGTCCTACACAACAAGTCATTTTATTTACAGATTACAGCTTTATAAGTTTTATACAACCACCCAGGGCTTGTATTATTATTAAGATAAAATAAGAGTATTTTGCATTGCCATTTGATAATTGAATATAGTTACACATATACAACAGATTTTAGAAAACAAAAATCAACGACAATTTAGTTATTGATGATATTCTTTAGTTTAATTTAAGCATAGGTTTAGCAAAACACAATAACTTAATTTACCTAAATATAGATATAAAATACAATGTGATGTGCAAGTTTTAAGTTAATCTAACACATGTGAAGCAGTTAGAATTTATTTAAAGTAGCCTCCAAATTCATACAAAACATTTATACATTGTAATTTTCATACCGTTTCCATGAAAACATATGAATAACATTATTTTCACTTAGGATTATTAACTTAAGACGCTTTAAAAAATCCAAAGCAGAGCCGGAGTTGATACAGCAACGGTTATAAAATCTTTTTTTCTCTATAATCATTGACATAGTTTTAGAATAAATAATCCATGATAAAAGGTTAGATTAAAATAAACCTACCTCATATTTATGGGAAATATTATATTTAATTTCTTTGTATCAGCTGTCTGAAATTGTGATATATGCAGTTTAGCAGTTCTTCTTTCAGTGTTCTTCTTGTTTATATTTAAATGTCAAAGCAAATGTAAACAAACATTGTTAGTGTTCTCATCACAGCCATGGAGACCAATCAATATTTACTTTTAAAATGTTCACCTCAGAACTTTTAAAGCCAAAGGGGCAAAGCCTACAGTCAGTATCGAAATGTGAATAGTCCTTGGTATGGTAGCTATATTTTTGTAAAATTTAAGCCCAGTTGGTTCAGTAGTTTTTGCACCTATTAGTAATACACATACAGACAGACATCATTAGATTTTTATATAATAGTATAGATTATCATCTCTGAAGAAAGGTCTTGGTCTGTAGATGAGCCATCAAAAGAGGAAAGAGGTAAATTCCCTTGGGGCTCTGCCCCAGAAGCCTTTAAAGTTGCCTCTTCAGATTTGTTTACATTACGACCATATGCATAATTCTACACTACTTTTTAATGCAACAGGTCTTAATATTTGAATTGTGATTTATTGAATTTGTCAAAATGAAGTACAGTATTTGCAATGGATTTTTCTGATTTAAAAATTGATTTTCTTCTGAATCATGTAATGTTTTGCAATATAATGTTCTATTACCAAATCAGTGGAAAATCCTAATATCGCAGTAACTTTTAAAATTATTTCTTATGAAGTTAACTTATATCTATTGTATGGGTTGGTTTCTGCCTTTTTTACCACTTCTTGGAGATTGTACGTAGGTGATATTCTTTGGCATATTGCATCTGTACACGAAACTTGGGTTGGTGTAATTATTACAATGGAAAAGAGCGAGAAATCTTGGACAATTTGATGTAGGCTAAAAATAAAACTGAATTAACACTGTGCTACATTTCTTGAGCAATCATTTAAATAACCGATTTGCAAACAATGGAAACATAGAAAAAGTCATAGAACACAACCAAGTAAAAGAAATAGAAATAATGTTCTTTTTTTACACTTAAAACACTAAAAAAACAAGATCAACTTTTTGAAAACAGATAAGATATTTACAAAAGATTTTGATTATATCTAACTGTTGTGTAGATCATGAGTTTTTCCATAATCTTTGAGTCACCTGTAATGCTTCGCAATTGCTCGAATTCGAGCAACAGGTACACTAGTTAAAGGGCTTAGCAGTCAGTCCCAGGTCATGAGTATTCATATTCCTCTTCACTCTTCTCTTCTGTAGCAATCCCTCAGCATCTAGTCTTCTCACCATTTTAACAATAATTCCCGGAGGTTTTCCAGAGCCTTCTCTAGTAGGTCACGAAGACGATGACAGGCGTCTATCATGTTGTCCTCCACAGGGTAGTCAAGGGCACGTCCTACTGTCTTGACTAAGGCGACCACATTCTCCCCCTTTTCCACTGGGACTCCATGAATTTCTATTGTGTTACTGCGTGAATACTGCTCCATCTCAATCATCCTAGATTCCAGACTACAAACCTTGTTGCGAAGTGCCATGTTTTCTGTTTTGAGATCTTCTACTCTTTTCATCCACTCCGACAATTCTTCACTTTGCTTCTGGACCATTGCCTTTGTGGCTGATATTTCTTCGTGGCAACTATCTGGGGAACGTCCTAAACTTGTTTCAACTCGTTTGAAGTCGTTCCTGAGCTCGGAAACCAAATTAAGTACATCGTCATAAGTCATAGAACTTATAGTTTCAACAGTCATACTCTTGCGGCGAGCCCTCGAACACGGTTCACATCTCCAAACACTTTCTTGTTCCGATAGGTACGACACTTCATCCGTGGACATATTGACACATCTTGCATGGAAACTCTGCTCACAATCAGCACAACTTATTTTAACTTTCACATTTTTAAGGGATTTTAAGCATTTAGAACAATCAGCCATATTTATACTGTATGTCTCAAAATTATACTGACAAGATATTAAAACTCTCTCAAAAGAAAAACGTACGTCTTTATATTTATATTTTTTATACTTTATCTGCGGCACACATGTAATTTGAGGGATTTAAAAAGCAAATCTACAACAAACCATGACAGGAAAACCTGTAGATAGGTAAGGGCGATGATAAGACAAGCACTCCAAAAACACAACCGTCCTGCTCGGCATCCGACTGATAACTGAAAGGTCTTGGTTCCGCCAATGAAAGGTCTGTAGATGAGTTATCAAAAGAAAAACGAAGTAAATTCGCTTAAAGCTCTGCCCCAGAAGCCTTTAAAAACCCCTCCACAGATTTGTTTACAATTTGGTGACGTGGATAATATTTTTTAATAAAACCGCTGTTAATTTTAAAATTGTATTTTAAACAACACACATTTTTTGGGAGTTACTGAATTGTCCAAAAGAAGTATTTGCAATGTTATTTTCTGATTTTAAAATTAATTTTCTTCTGTATCATGTCATGTGCACCAATTTAAAGTTCCATTAAGAAATCAGTGGAAAATCCCTTTATCACAATCTATAATATTAAAACGAAACAGTGTTTTTTTATTTCACGATTCTGAACCAACCACTCGACGGATTTTCATGATTTTTGTGTTGAAAGAAAGATAATTTTGAGAACTAGGGAATGCCGAAGCCATAAATTTAGTTTATGGTCCCAGATTTTTAGAAATTAAGTTTTAATTTTTTGAAAAGTCTAGCAGCCGACGCTAAGATTCTAAACTAGCTTTTGGCATAAAATAGTTTGCTTAACATAACAGCTGTAAACATTCAGCTTTTGTGTAAAAGAATCAGCATTTGGATAAAAATGTAAAGACATACTTAGGGTTGACTTATTTATACTATGTTTAATGCTAATCATTGATACGTTCAATTCTTCTGTAAGAGGATTTCAGATTAATTAAATTATACGTAGTAAAATACTAGGATGTTCCAATTATTTTTTAAAGCAATCTTTGTAATCTTCGATTTGTTTTAGAGCAATATAATTTGTTTTAACTAACAGCTGGTTAAATATAAACTATGGAACTATGAGGTTATTTTATTTACTCTTATTTTGTCATTGGTTATAGGAAATAAGTAATATTAGTAGAGATAATTAGACCACAGTTTAAAATAGCTTAGACCAAGACCAAAATGAATTAAACCACAGTACAAATCGAGGCTCTGTACACGAGTCTTAATAAAAAGTATAAATGCAAATTATTTTACTGCTCCACTTTTCAAGGAAAGATTAGAAAAATAACAATGTTTACATGTTTTAATTCTTCATGGTAGCTTTTTGTTTACAATTAATGTTTGTCTACTTTAACTTTGTTTGGACTAGGCCCGGAAATATTGATGTCATAAAAAGAAGATCAAGAATAATCAGGAATCACGATTTTAAACTACCACCACAACCTCAGCCGGGTTTTATATAAAGATAAACAGGTGGATGACATAGATTGAACACAACGTCAACATTGACCTAGGATACTGCAATTAGACAAACCATCCTTTTATGAAATCGTGTTCAGTTGTGGTTACATTTGGGGAGGCCTATATCAGCGCCCCTAAACGTGAAAATATCACTTTTATTTTAACTATGAATATATTGTATTTTAAATTAGCTAATGTCGGAAATTACGATGTACATTTATTCAATGAGGGTGGGTAATTATCAAGGATAGAACCAGAACTGATAACGGTATGGATAATAAACATTGACAATTACGTAATTAGCTTTACTAGCGTGTTTACTTTTTATATTCCTGCTACATGTGACCAGTTATTTTTTTCAAATGAATGTTATTTAAACCAAACAGCTGTTTCAAAACAAACTGTTATTGTTTTTACTTTTCTTTGTTTGCACTTATTTATTTAGCAATTAATGCAGTGAAATTTATATAAAGGATAGGTGTGACGATTAGTTTTGATGTTAGGACACCAAACCAAAGTTAAATTATGTGTACTGTGAATTTTATTTTAGGTCGTTTCTATTCAGACCTACTGGAAATTGTGTATAGTAGTTGTATTGTGGTGATAATAGTTATGGGTAATTATATCGACCTCCGGACCTCACGCGAAATTAAATTTTTTTTTTTCAAAATGGTCGAAATTTCACGCTGATTTCAAAAATGATTGTCGTTTTTTGCGGAAACGTCCCGTTTTCCCGGAAAATGGAAAAAACGGGAAAATTTTTTTTTTGCTCAAAACCCATGTTGTGGGTACTCAAATTGTGCGGAATTTCCTCCTGAACAAGAATATGTAATTTTTATTACGATCGGACCACTATTAAGTAAAATATCACCAGAAAAGTGGGCCATATTTAAATAACAAAGGTTAGGTCAGGTTACTTTAGGTTAGGTAAGGTTACTTTAGGTTAGGTTAGGTTACTTTAGGTTAGGTTAGGTTAGTTTAGGTTAGGTTAAGTTTGGTTAGGTTAGGTTAAGTTAGGTTAGGTTAGGTTAAGTTAGGTTATGTTCGGTTGGGTTAGTTTACATTGTTACAATACTCATGTTATTGATAAACTATTCTAACCTAACCTAACCTAACCTAAAGTAACCTAACCTTAAGTAACCTAAGTTGTTATGTTAGGTTAGTTTAGGTTAGGTAAAGTTTGGTTAGTTTATCAATAACATGAGTAGGGCCTATTGTAACTATGTCAACTAACCCAACCGAACCTAACCTAACTTAACCTAACCTAACCTAACCTAACTTAACCTAACCTAACCAAACTTAACCTAACCTAAACTAACCTAACCTAACCTAACAACTTAGGTTAGGTTACTTAAGGTTAGGTTAGGTTAGGTTACTTTAGGTTAGGTAAGGTTAGGTTAGTTTATCAATAACATGAGTATTGTAACTATATAAACTCACCCAACCGAACCTAACCTAACTTAACCTAACCTAACCTAACCCAACCTAACCTAACCTAACTTAGGTTAACCTAACCTAACCTTACCTAACCTAACTTAACCTTACCTAACCTAACCAAACTTAACCTAACCTAAACTAACCTAACATAACAACTTAGGTTACTTAAGGTTAGGTTAGGTTACTTTAGGTTAGGTTAGGTTAGGTTAGAATAGTTTATCAATAACATGACTGATCTTAACTGTTTTCTTAATGTATCAACATTTGTTGAAGAATCTACTTTAACTCCTCTAACATTTAATTCATAAATCAGCTCACTTTTAAGTAACAAATCCACATGAGACCCCATTTTATTTATTATTTGTCTTCCTTGATAATTATTTTTTTTCAACAAACACTTAAAATATTTCAGTTTTATAGTCTTTAAGTATAATAGCATTTAGCTTTAGCAGAGTAGCGCAATTTTGTACCATATTTGATTGTATTACTATTGTAAACTCAGGTAACTTAAAAAACTTCTTCCTTCAAAATCATGCTATTTATTAAAAAATTAAAAATCACTTCATCTTTACATCTCATTCTTCAATTTTATGGTACATTATTAATTTAGTAGTATTTTAAGTTTTAATTCCAAATCGTGAACCCCTAAAATAAAAATCAAACATTAGTTAACTATAAAAATTAATCATTTAGTTCAACTTGTAAAAAAATTCAAGTTTTAGTTTTAATAAAAGCATAAAAATTACTGTTTCAAAATTATACTAGTATTATAGGATTTGCAAAAATCTATCTAATTATTACTATTCTAAAACTTACCCTTAAAAGGGGGAACAAACACTAAAAAAAATTTACTTTAAAATTAACAAATCACTGCAACTCACAAAACTACTAGACTGCATTATGGTCAGAAGCAAACAAGGACGGTTTGAGCAAGAAGTGCCTTTAAATAGGTGGTCAGTAGGTATCTCCTGATTGGCTTACAACTTGAATCTTCTAGAACATTCTGACCAATCAGAAGACACCTACCCTACATGTTACTTGCAAATCCTGTACAAACTGAAATTTAAATAAAAACGGTTATTTTCTTGTTGAATTTACATTTTAAAATTGATCTGAATATTTTACTTTAAAATCATTATTTATTGGAATGACATTTTTTTTATATCACTCCCCTACGTGAATCCTCATATGCTACATTTTGTTCATGTACACATAACAATTCTAACTCTTCAAAACTTGTTGGTTCTTTTGTTAAAGCTAGACGACATCTTGTTACTTGATTTAAACCCATTATAATTAGTTTCACTAATTCAGCTTCTGAATACATACAATTTAATAGTTTTGCATTTTCCTTAACTGATATTATGTAACAGCTTAATGGTTCATGGTGTTTCTGAGGTCTGTTAACAAGATCTCGTTTTAAGTTCTCTCTTAGCCCTAATGGCACAAAGTAATTCAGCAACAAAATATGGACATCTCCAAGTGATTTTCCTAACTGCCTACATTCCACAAGTTTGTTATACAATGGTCCATTTGCATAGCCTAAGACTACTTCTAGTATCTTATGGTCTGAAAGATGTGTTTCTTTGTTTAGTTTTAACATAACTTTTATAAAGTCTAAAAGTTCATTTACACAAAGCCCGTTTGTTGGTTTTAAACACTTTAACGGGTTTTCAATTGGATTTGAAAGTTTAGCGAACATCTTTGATTCACTAGATCCTGAACTATCGTTTGACATGACTGACTCGTTTAGTTTTGATTTTAAATTTAAATCTACTTCATCTTCTTCCTCAACAGACTGACTTAATTTACGCTCAATACCAGATTCTAGATCTTTATCCACCTCAACTTGTTGAAGACTATTTTCACACTTCCCCAATGTAGATTTAAGCCCATCAATAAACTTTGTAACATCTTCAGATACTTTAAAACTACTCAGAATATTAACTCTCAATTTATAATGACTAAGTTTAGTTTTACATTTCAAAAAAATCTACAACTCTTTTATTCTTGATGCAATCTTGAATTTTTATTGTAAGTTCTTCCAAAGCAACTTGTATGGTATTTGTTTCCTCAGCTACCACAATTATTTTATTTATGTTATATGCACTGGGATCAATGTTTAGTTTTAAGACTGATCTTAACTGTTTTCTTAATGTATCAACATTTGTTGAAGAATCTACTTTAACTCCTCTAACATTTAATTCATAAATCAGCTCACTTTTAAGTAACAAATCCACATGAGACCCCATTTTATTTATTATTTGTCTTCCTTGATAATTATTTTTTTTCAACAAACACTTAAAATATTTACAGTTTTATAGTCTTTAAGTATAATAGCATTTAGCTTTAGCAGAGTAGCGCAATTTTGTACCATATTTGATTGTATTACTATTGTAAACTCAGGTAACTTAAAAAACTTCTTCCTTCAAAATCATGCTATTTATTAAAAAATTAAAAATCACTTCATCTTTACATCTCATTCTTCAATTTTATGGTACATTATTAATTTAGTAGTATTTTAAGTTTTAATTCCAAATCGTGAACCCCTAAAATAAAAATCAAACATTAGTTAACTATAAAAATTAATCATTTAGTTCAACTTGTAAAAAAATTCAAGTTTTAGTTTTAATAAAAGCATAAAAATTACTGTTTCAAAATTATACTAGTATTATAGGATTTGCAAAAATCTATCTAATTATTACTATTCTAAAACTTACCCTTAAAAGGGGGAACAAACACTAAAAAAAATTTACTTTAAAATTAACAAATCACTGCAACTCACAAAACTACTAGACTGCATTATGGTCAGAAGCAAACAAGGACGGTTTGAGCAAGAAGTGCCTTTAAATAGGTGGTCAGTAGGTATCTCCTGATTGGCTTACAACTTGAATCTTCTAGAACATTCTGACCAATCAGAAGACACCTACCCTACATGTTACTTGCAAATCCTGTACAAACTGAAATTTAAATAAAAACGGTTATTTTCTTGTTGAATTTACATTTTAAAATTGATCTGAATATTTTACTTTAAAATCATTATTTATTGGAATGACATTTTTTTTATATCACTCCCCTACGTGAATCCTCATATGCTACATTTTGTTCATGTACACATAACAATTCTAACTCTTCAAAACTTGTTGGTTCTTTTGTTAAAGCTAGACGACATCTTGTTACTTGATTTAAACCCATTATAATTAGTTTCACTAATTCAGCTTCTGAATACATACAATTTAATAGTTTTGCATTTTCCTTAACTGATATTATGTAACAGCTTAATGGTTCATGGTGTTTCTGAGGTCTGTTAACAAGATCTCGTTTTAAGTTCTCTCTTAGCCCTAATGGCACAAAGTAATTCAGCAACAAAATATGGACATCTCCAAGTGATTTTCCTAACTGCCTACATTCCACAAGTTTGTTATACAATGGTCCATTTGCATAGCCTAAGACTACTTCTAGTATCTTATGGTCTGAAAGATGTGTTTCTTTGTTTAGTTTTAACATAACTTTTATAAAGTCTAAAAGTTCATTTACACAAAGCCCGTTTGTTGGTTTTAAACACTTTAACGGGTTTTCAATTGGATTTGAAAGTTTAGCGAACATCTTTGATTCACTAGATCCTGAACTATCGTTTGACATGACTGACTCGTTTAGTTTTGATTTTAAATTTAAATCTACTTCCTCTTCTTCCTCAACAGACTGACTTAATTTACGCTCAATACCAGATTCTAGATCTTTATCCACCTCAACTTGTTGAAGACTATTTTCACACTTCCCCAATGTAGATTTAAGCCCATCAATAAACTTTGTAACATCTTCAGATACTTTAAAACTACTCAGAATATTAACTCTCAATTTATAATGACTAAGTTTAGTTTTACATTTCAAAAAATCTACAACTCTTTTATTCTTGATGCAATCTTGAATTTTTATTGTAAGTTCTTCCAAAGCAACTTGTATGGTATTTGTTTCCTCAGCTACCACAATTATTTTATTTATGTTATATGCACTGGGATCAATGTTTAGTTTTAAGACTGATCTTAACTGTTTTCTTAATGTATCAACATTTGTTGAAGAATCTACTTTAACTCCTCTAACATTTAATTCATAAATCAGCTCACTTTTAAGTAACAAATCCACATGAGACCCCATTTTATTTATTATTTGTCTTCCTTGATAATTATTTTTTTTCAACAAACACTTAAAATATTTACAGTTTTATAGTCTTTAAGTATAATAGCATTTAGCTTTAGCAGAGTAGCGCAATTTTGTACCATATTTGATTGTATTACTATTGTAAACTCAGGTAACTTAAAAAACTTCTTCCTTCAAAATCATGCTATTTATTAAAAAATTAAAAATCACTTCATCTTTACATCTCATTCTTCAATTTTATGGTACATTATTAATTTAGTAGTATTTTAAGTTTTAATTCCAAATCGTGAACCCCTAAAATAAAAATCAAACATTAGTTAACTATAAAAATTAATCATTTAGTTCAACTTGTAAAAAAATTCAAGTTTTAGTTTTAATAAAAGCATAAAAATTACTGTTTCAAAATTATACTAGTATTATAGGATTTGCAAAAATCTATCTAATTATTACTATTCTAAAACTTACCCTTAAAAGGGGGAACAAACACTAAAAAAAATTTACTTTAAAATTAACAAATCACTGCAACTCACAAAACTACTAGACTGCATTATGGTCAGAAGCAAACAAGGACGGTTTGAGCAAGAAGTGCCTTTAAATAGGTGGTCAGTAGGTATCTCCTGATTGGCTTACAACTTGAATCTTCTAGAACATTCTGACCAATCAGAAGACACCTACCCTACATGTTACTTGCAAATCCTGTACAAACTGAAATTTAAATAAAAACGGTTATTTTCTTGTTGAATTTACATTTTAAAATTGATCTGAATATTTTACTTTAAAATCATTATTTATTGGAATGACATTTTTTTTATATCACTCCCCTACGTGAATCCTCATATGCTACATTTTGTTCATGTACACATAACAATTCTAACTCTTCAAAACTTGTTGGTTCTTTTGTTAAAGCTAGACGACATCTTGTTACTTGATTTAAACCCATTATAATTAGTTTCACTAATTCAGCTTCTGAATACATACAATTTAATAGTTTTGCATTTTCCTTAACTGATATTATGTAACAGCTTAATGGTTCATGGTGTTTCTGAGGTCTGTTAACAAGATCTCGTTTTAAGTTCTCTCTTAGCCCTAATGGCACAAAGTAATTCAGCAACAAAATATGGACATCTCCAAGTGATTTTCCTAACTGCCTACATTCCACAAGTTTGTTATACAATGGTCCATTTGCATAGCCTAAGACTACTTCTAGTATCTTATGGTCTGAAAGATGTGTTTCTTTGTTTAGTTTTAACATAACTTTTATAAAGTCTAAAAGTTCATTTACACAAAGCCCGTTTGTTGGTTTTAAACACTTTAACGGGTTTTCAATTGGATTTGAAAGTTTAGCGAACATCTTTGATTCACTAGATCCTGAACTATCGTTTGACATGACTGACTCGTTTAGTTTTGATTTTAAATTTAAATCTACTTCCTCTTCTTCCTCAACAGACTGACTTAATTTACGCTCAATACCAGATTCTAGATCTTTATCCACCTCAACTTGTTGAAGACTATTTTCACACTTCCCCAATGTAGATTTAAGCCCATCAATAAACTTTGTAACATCTTCAGATACTTTAAAACTACTCAGAATATTAACTCTCAATTTATAATGACTAAGTTTAGTTTTACATTTCAAAAAATCTACAACTCTTTTATTCTTGATGCAATCTTGAATTTTTATTGTAAGTTCTTCCAAAGCAACTTGTATGGTATTTGTTTCCTCAGCTACCACAATTATTTTATTTATGTTATATGCACTGGGATCAATGTTTAGTTTTAAGACTGATCTTAACTGTTTTCTTAATGTATCAACATTTGTTGAAGAATCTA